TGGCTGCCTCCTGCACAACCCCCACAGTGGATCGAGCCCACAACCTGGGCACATGCCCTCGGCCAGAATCGAACCCGGCACCCCTCCGTCCTCAGTCCTCCGGCTCTACCCACTGAGCCACCCTGGCGGGGGTGCTACGTTATTAACAGAAGCAGCGGCGAGGCCTGCTTTGAGCTCGGCCAGCGTTTCCCAGGGCGATGATAAGGCGAGGTGAGACAGGTGCGTGGTCTCAATGTCCCCCCGGACCTCCCCGGCTCCGGCCGCGCCCCCGGCACTCCCGGCCCCAGGACCAGACACGCGGGCTCCAGACGCGTCCGACCGGGAACGCTGCGGTGGTGGCGCCATGCAGGCCGCCACGGGATGGGGAGGAAGCGAGGCTCGGGGCCCACATGGCGGAGCCGGGACTGCAGGCCTCAGCCCCCCTGCCTCCCGGTCAGCCGCGGGGCGGGCGAGGGGTCCCTCCAGCCCTTCCACCTCCCAGGCCACCGTCCCCAGGAAGCCACATCCTGCAGGGGCCTCTCCCCGGGGGCAGGACCCTCCTCAGGCCTGTCCCCCCCCCCCAGCCAGCTCCCTCCTGTATGGAGGTTTCTCCAGCTCTAAGAGCCGGCATGTCCCGGGAGGAAGCCAGAAAGCGCGAGCCTATTGAAGAAATTAACACCCGGGCCGGTGTGACTCAGTGGATAGAGCGTAGGCCCACGGACTGAAGGGTCCCGGGTTCGATTCCGGTCAAGGGCACGTACCCTGATTGCAGGCTCCCTGGCCCTGGTTGGGGCCTGTGTGTGCAGGAGGCAACCAATCAAATGTGTCTCTCTTCCATCAGTGTTTCTCTCTTCTCTCTCCCTCCCCCTTCCACTCTCTCTAAAAATCAATGGGAAAAATATCCTCTGGGTGAGGATTAACAAAAAAACAAACAAAAAAAAAAACACCTAAAATAAAAAATAAATAAAACAATTTACTTTAAAAAGAAGAAGAAGAAGAAGAAGAAGAAAAGAAGGAAAGAGGAAAGGAAATGAGTGTGTATATATATATATATATTTTAATATATTTTATTGATTTTGTACGGAGAGGAAGAGAGAGGGATAAAGAGTTAGAAACATCGATGGGAGAGAGTCATCGATCAGCTGCCTCTTGCACACCCCCTATTGGGGATGTGCCCACAACCAAGGTACATGCCCTTGACCGGAATCGAACCCGGGACCCTTCAGTCGCCAAGCCGACGCTCTATCCATTAAGCCAAACCGGTTTCGACATGAGTATATATTTTTTTTAAAAAAAATTTATCCTCACCAGAGGATTTTTTTTCCCCATTGATTTTGCTCAGTGGATAGGGCATCGGCCTACAGAACAAAGGGTCCCGGGTTCGATTCCGGTGAAGGGCATGTAGCTCGGTTGCAGGCTCCTCCCCGGCCCAGGCCCAGGTCATAGTGTGTGCAGGAGGCAACCCATCGATGTGCTTCTCTCACATCACTATTTCTGTCTTTCCCTCTCTCTTCCACTCTCCCTAAAAATCAATGGGAAAATAGCCTCAGGTGAGGATTAAAAAATAATAAAAAAGTGGCTATTTCGTTTTTTTTTAAGGAGAGAGAGAGGAAAGGTTAGAGAGAAACATCGATGTGGAAACATGGATCAGTTGCCTCCTGTGTGCACCCCAACCGGGATGGGACCCACGACCCCGGTATGTGCCCTGACCAGCAGTCAAACCTGCAACCTTGGTGTAGTGGGACGGTGCTCTAACCACTGTGCTACCCGGCGGGGCCAGATTCCAACGTTTTAAGAGCCCACCCGTATCTTCATCTGTCTCTTGCACCCTGAGGCCCCAAGGACCTTCCCTCAGGCCAGGTGCCAGGGTTTTCCGAATTCCCAGGAATCTGGTTTCCATGCAGGGGATGGACCCCGATTCTGGTCAAAGAGGATCCCCCCCCTCTCTCCACCCCACCGATGATGGGAGATTCTGAGAGGGCCTCCTTTCAAATTCACTCGCTTACGAAACCCAGAACCTGAGGGTGCACTGCTGGCTCCAGGCCGAGAGGCTGAGCCCCAGGCCTGCCTTCTGGGCAGGGGAGTGGTGGGGGGGATCTCTGGGGAGAGACAGCAGACAGGCAGCTGGTGCAGGGGGTGCCCAGGTGGGGGTGACAGGGCAGGACAAGCCTCAAGCCATGCGCTGGGCTCAGGGAATTGTGGGGGGGGAGGGGAAGTTCAGGAAGAATGGGGGAAGGGGAGGGGGCAGCATGCAGGCCCCTGTGCAGGGACTGTGTTCTATGGGATGCACCGTCACACTCGGTCCTCTGGGTCTGCGGCAGGTGTGGGCTCCGGGGGTGACAGGGGTTGGGGGGGGGGGGGGCGCTGTGAGCCGGAGGGACTGGGAACTGTGGGTAGGAACTAAAAGGTGAAATAGAGAGGCCCGGAGACCAGGATGCCGGACACAGGCTTTACTGGAGAGAAGAGAGCCACTGCCAGCTGCTTCCAGAGAGAGAGAGAGAGAGAGCGGAAGAGAGTGAGGGCTGGGGCACAAGCACTTTTTAAGGGGAGGAAAGAGAGGGAGTGGGGCTTAGGGCACCGAGCACCCGCTGATGGCTGGTTTCCTGTAGGGCCTATGATGAGGAACCTGGGGGCTTAGGAACGGGGGCTCAGGGCCTTTGGCAGGTGCTGATGGGTGGTTTGGTGCTCAGGGTGTCTGGCCGCAGGTGGAGTTTACGTCCGTCCACCAGTTGGAGGAAGGAAGGATCTATCAGGAACAGACCTCCTGGGGCCGGGTGTCCAGGGGGGGCCGGCTGTGGACGGGAGAGGAGGGGACACAATAGGGAGTCCGGCCAGCTCGGGGGGGGGGGGGGGTAGAGGGGCGACAGCAAGTGTCAGACGGACTAGCCATCTCTGGTTGTCCCTGCCCTGGGGCCTCCTCCACCGGTGGTTTCATAGGGGGGTCAGGGCACCGGAGCCCAGGCAGCGCCTGGCAGCCCGCACGGCCTCACTCGCCATCACGAGGGCGGAAACCAGGCCAGGGGCCCGGAAGGCTGCGTGTGAACAGAGTGGCACACGCTCCCTCGTCAGTTTCAGCTCAATGACACGTCGAAATCATAACATTTGGGATCCAGTGGGCTAAATAAACACGATTAAAGCTGATTTCACCGGTCTGGGGCTTTCTTTTTTTATTATTATTATTATCCTCACCCCGAGGAGATGTGTGTGTGTGAGTTTTAATATGTTTTTATTGATTTCAGAGAGGAAGGGAGGAGGAGATAGAAACGTCAGTGATGAGAACCATTAGTCGGCTGCCTCCTGCACGCCCCACCCTGGACACAGAGCCCGCCACCTGGGCATGGGTGTATGCTCAACCACTGAGCCAGACTGTCCTGAGCAGGAATTAAACTTGAAGCTTGTTCGTGTGTGGGATGACACTCCAACCACCTGAGTCCCCACCAGGGCCTGGGTTTTCTCCGAACGTGGCTTTTTGGGATTAAATAAGTGTCCTGGCTGCGTGGTTGTTTCTTTAACTGTTTTTTTTTTTTTTAATTTATTTTTTTATTATGAATTTCAGAGAGGAAGGGAGAGAGACAGAAACATCGATGATGAGAGAGAATCATTGGTTGGCCGCCTCCTGCACGCCCCCTACTGGGGAGGATAGAGCCCGCAACCTGGGACTGGAGTCCGAAGACCAACGCTCTGTCCACTGAGCCAAACCGGTCAGAGCGGATGAGTCCTTTTTATGGGGGTGTAACGTACATGTAACAAAATGCCCCTTTTGTGTGTACAGTTTGGGGAGTTGTGGCAGTTATAATACATTCACCCGTGGAGGGCCCTTCCCAATTTGGAACATTTCTATCACCCAGGAAGCTCGCTCGCGCCCCTTCCCAGCCTGACTCCCCCACGCGCACCCTCAGAGACACCTCAGCTCGGCCAGGGAGCAGAGCGAACGGGATCCCATCGCGCAGGCGCCTGGCTCCGCCCAGCCGCACAGCATCCGGGAGATGCATCTGTGGTTCCTTGTCCCTTGGCCCTGAGGGGCCTTTGGGCGGCTGCCTGCCGGGCGAGGCTGCAATGACCACAGAGGCTGTGGGCGCCCACCCCACGCAGCTGAATGGGCCTCTGCTCCCGGTTCTCGTGGGAAAAGCCTTGGGAGTGGAAAGGCTGGGCCCCGTGGCAGCTCAGTGTCTGCCTTTGCAAGAAACACTCAGCCCCGCCAAGGTTGTGGGTTCGATCTCCAGTCAAGGCACATCCAAGAAGCAACCAATGAATGCACCAATAAGTAGAGCAACGCATCAATGTTTCTCTCTCCTCCCCCCACCCACCACCAAACATCCATAAAAATCTATTTTCAGCCAAGACCGGTTTGGCTCAATGGATAGACCGTCGACTTGGGGACTGAAGGGTCCCGGGTTCGATTCCGGTCAAGGGCATGTACCTTGGTTGCAGGCACATCCCCAGTAGGGGGTGTGCAAGAGGCAGCTGATCGATGACTCTCTCTCATCGATGTTTCTAACTCTTTATCCCTCTCTCTTCCTCTACATAAGAAATCAATAATATATATATATATATATATATATATATATATATTTTTTTTTTAATATTCTCCAAAAAAAATCTATTTTCAAAAATCAAACCGCCCTGACTGACTCGTTTGGCTCAGTGGACAGAGTGTCGCCCTGCGGACTGAAGGATCCCAAGTTTGATTCCGGTCAAGGGCATGTACCTGGGTTGCGGGCACATCCCCAGTAGGAGGTGTGCAGGAGGCAGCTGGTCGATATTTCTCTCTCTCCCTCTCCCTTCCTCTCTGTAAAAAAAAAAAAATAAAATAAAATAATCAATAAAACATTAAAAATTTTTTTTTTTAAAAAATCAAACCGTTTTTCCAAAATGGCATCGTGGTCCTCCTCTCCCCCCAGCAGAGGCGAGAGAGCTGGGCCCCTCTGCCCACGGCCGCCAGCACTTGGCGACCCGGTGCTCACGGTCCGTTGTTACCTGCCTTACTGACGGTGTCTCTCCCCCCCTTCCCCTCCCCCCAGGTGATCCGCACCGACACCTTCAAGCACCTGCGCCACCTGGAGATCCTGCAGCTGAGCAAGAACCTGGTGCGCAAGATCGAGGTGGGCGCCTTCAACGGGCTGCCCAGCCTGAACACGCTGGAGCTGTTCGACAACCGGCTGACCACGGTGCCCACGCAGGCCTTCGAGTACCTGTCCAAGCTGCGCGAGCTGTGGCTGCGCAACAACCCCATCGAGAGCATCCCGTCCTACGCCTTCAACCGCGTGCCCTCGCTGCGGCGCCTGGACCTGGGCGAGCTCAAGCGGCTGGAGTACATCTCGGAGGCGGCCTTCGAGGGCCTGGTCAACCTGCGCTACCTCAACCTGGGCATGTGCAACCTCAAGGACATCCCCAACCTCACGGCGCTGGTGCGGCTGGAGGAGCTGGAGCTGTCCGGCAACCGGCTGGACCTGATCCGCCCGGGCTCCTTCCAGGGCCTCACGAGCCTGCGCAAGCTGTGGCTCATGCACGCCCAGGTGGCCACCATCGAGCGCAACGCCTTCGACGACCTCAAGTCGCTGGAGGAGCTCAACCTGTCCCACAACAACCTCATGTCGCTGCCCCACGACCTCTTCACGCCCCTGCACCGCCTCGAGCGCGTGCACCTCAACCACAACCCCTGGCACTGCAACTGCGACGTGCTGTGGCTCAGCTGGTGGCTCAAGGAGACGGTGCCCAGCAACACCACGTGCTGCGCGCGCTGCCACGCGCCCGCCGGCCTCAAGGGGCGCTACATCGGCGAGCTGGACCAGTCGCACTTCACCTGCTACGCGCCCGTCATCGTGGAGCCGCCCACGGACCTCAACGTCACGGAGGGCATGGCGGCCGAGCTCAAGTGCCGCACGGGCACCTCCATGACCTCGGTCAACTGGCTCACGCCCAACGGCACCCTCATGACGCACGGCTCCTACCGGGTGCGCATCTCCGTGCTGCACGACGGCACGCTCAACTTCACCAACGTCACGGTGCAGGACACGGGCCAGTACACGTGCATGGTGACGAACTCGGCGGGCAACACCACCGCCTCGGCCACGCTCAACGTCTCGGCCGTGGACCCGGTGGCGGCCGGAGGGGCGGCCGGGGGCGGCGGTCCCGGCCCCGGGGGCGGCCCCGGGGGCGGGGGCAGCGGCGGCGCCTACACCTACTTCACCACGGTGACCGTGGAGACGCTGGAGTCGCAGCCCGGCGGCGGCGGCGGCGGCGGCGGCGAGGAGGCCCTGCAGACGCGGGGGGCGGACAAGGAGCCCCCCGGGCCCACGACGGACGGCGCGTGGGGCGGGGGCCGGCCCGGGGAGGCGGCGGCGGGCGGCGCGGCCTCGGCCTCGGCCTCCGCGTCCTCCACCACGGCGCCCGCGCCGCGCTCCTCGCGGCCCACGGAGAAGGCGTTCACCGTGCCCATCACGGACGTGACGGAGAACGCGCTCAAGGACCTGGACGACGTGATGAAGACCACCAAGATCATCATCGGCTGCTTCGTGGCCATCACGTTCATGGCCGCCGTCATGCTCGTGGCCTTCTACAAGCTGCGCAAGCAGCACCAGCTCCACAAGCACCACGGCCCCACGCGCACCGTGGAGATCATCAACGTGGAGGACGAGCTGCCCGCCGCCTCGGCCGTGTCGGTGGCCGCGGCGGGGGGCGCGGGCGGCGCGGGCGGCGGCGGGGACAGCCACCTGGCCCTGCCCGCCCTGGAGCGCGACCACCTCGCCCACCACCGCTACGTGGCGGCCGCCTTCAAGGCGCACTACGGCGGCGGCGCCAACCCCGGCGGCGGCGGCTGCGGCGGCGGCAAGGGCCCGCCCGGCCTCAACTCCATCCACGAACCTCTGCTCTTCAAGAGCGGCTCCAAGGAGAACGTGCAGGAGACGCAGATCTGACGCGGGGGGGACCCCGCGGGGTGGGGCGCGCCGATCTGGCTCCGCCCCTGGGCGAGCGGGGACCCTCCCCGCAGCCCCAGCCCCTCGGACATGCGCTGGGGACGGAGGGTCGGTCGGTCGGTCGGGGAACACGGGGCTCGGAGCCTTTGCCCGCGGACCCCGGGGCGGCTGGCCCAGCGAGGACAGGGTGGGCCCCGGGCGCGGAGCCCGTGGTTCCGGCCTCGCCCCTGTCCATCCCCGGGGACTGGAGGGGGCTCAGGACTCCTAAGCGGCCAGGACACCCAGCCCTCCGCGCGCCCCGCTTCTCTCTCCCCCCGTCCCCCCCCCCCGCCGCCCCGCCCTCCACCTCCCCAGGGGAGAGGAGGGGAGCTTTTTTGAGGGGCGTCTTCCCCCTCATCCCCTGACAGCCCCCCTTTTAAGATTCTTTTTTTTTGCAGTTTGACGCCTGCCCGCCCCTCCTTCCCACCCATACCCCCTCCAAACGGAAGAGACAGACAGACACGTGGTCGCCGGCGCCTCCAGACACCCTGGCCCGCCCCCTCCCGCGCCCACCCGGCCCCCAGGACCCTGAGCTGGGGGGGGGGCGCCCCAGCGCTCACCCCCCCAACATACACACACACACACACACACACACACACACAGACTCTTTTGATACTGAAGGGAGGTTTGCGGCAACGACTACCTGCTCTGTAATTACTTTAAAAAAAAAAAAAAAAAGGAAAAAGTAAAAAAATATTTTTTGGGTCATGAAAGCATGGAACACGGAGAGAACGCAGTGAGTGTGGATGGGGACCTGAAGGAGAGGGTGTCATGGGGCCTGCAGGGGGTTGTGACTCTTCACCCTTGACCCCGGAGGCCCCGGGAGGAGCCCCATCGCCTGGCACTAGTATTCACTTCCCAGCACCCCTTCTGAGGCAGGTCTTGGGGTGCTCGCTCCGCCCCCCGCCTCTCAGCAGAAACGGAGGCGCCCGGAGTAGTTTCCTGGGGCTGTCATAAAGACGGAGACCCCGGAGGGGGGGGGGGCCTGGCTGGTGACCCCAGATGGTCCCCGGCTGACAGCAGGCTTACCCACACCTCCCTGCATCTCCACGTCGCCGTCCCTCTGAGCATGCCCACCTCTGTGTCCCCGCTCCCCCCCTTTTAAAAAAAAAAATATATATATTTTATTGATTTTTTTATAGAGAGGGAGAGGGATAGAGAATTAGAAGCATCCATCCGCTGCCTCCTGCACACTCCCCACTGGGGATGTGCCCGAAACTTAGGTACATGCCCTTGCCCAGAATCGAACCTGGGACCCTCGAGTCTGCAGACCGATGCTCTATCCACTGAGCCACACCGCTCCCCCTTTTCATTAGGGCGCTGGCCATGCTGGGTGAGGGCCCTTCCTCCCCAGCCTCGCCTCGCTGGCCCATCCACAAGGACTGTGTCCACATCAGGTCACCCTCACAGGTCCTGTCTTAAGGGGGGGGGGGGAGGGGGCACATTCCAGCCGTCACAGAGCTGAGCCTGAGTGCCCGTCCTCTGCACACGGGTCCCTGTGAAGGGGTGACCTGGGGGCCAGGGGTGCTCCCTGTGGCCGCTGGACGAAGGGAGCCGCACATTGTTGTTGTTTTTTTAAATATATCTTTATTGATTTCAGAGAGGAAGGGAGAGGGAGAGAGAGCTAGAAACATCCATGATGAGAGAGAATCATTGATTGGCTGTCTCCCGCACGTCCACTGCTGAGGATCAAGCCCGCAACCCAGGCAGGTGCCCTTGACCGGAATCGAACCTGGGACCCTTCAGTCCGCAGGCTGATGATCTATCCTCTGAGCCACACCAGCCAGGGCTAACATTGTCTTGTAAGTGCAGAGGCCGGAGGAATGGGGTCCAGACCTGGGGGTGAGGGGCTGCACTGTCCCTCAGGGCAGGGGCCGCATGCAGAGCCCACCCCCAGGGCTAGCAGCAGGTGGTGGGAGCAGGGAGGCCAAGGTTTGAGCCTCCAGAGGACTGGGCGCCTGGGGCGGCCATGCCAGCTGTGGACAGACAGAGGCGGGTCCATCAGGATGAGGTTGGGCTACGCACACGCAGGGCCCGGCCCGGGAGCAGGCCTGGTCTCAGCCCCCTCTGCCCCCTCCCCTCAGCCCAGCCTGGCCCCATACCGAGCAGGGCCGGGTGCTGTGAAGGACACCCAGGCCCCCGAGGGGAGGACAGAGGTGGGGGCCCACAGCAGTCCCTCCTGAAGCATCTTCCTCCCTCGCGGACAGAGGCAGCGGCCGCCATGGCTGGGACTCGGGCCCTTTCCTGCTTGCGCCTGTCTGCTCCGGACTCTCCCTCGCTCCCTCTTTCATGCTCTCTTTCTCCCTCGTCCTCCTTCAGAGCCATCCTGGTTGCCACGGCAACGCTGCGGCGGGTACCAGGTGGCGGCTGGGGGCAGGGAGCCGCGCTGCTGCAGAGCGCCGCCATTTCCGATGCCAGGCACCCCAGGCGCGCTGGCTGGGGCGGCTCATGGGGAGTGGGGGGGGGGGGGCCGCGCTGGGCCTCCCCAGGCCTCGCAGGCTTCTCCTTGACCGAGGGGACGTGGGGAGGGAGGGAGGGACTGTGTGGGGGTGAGAACACAACACTGGGAGGGGCTGCTGCTGGCCTGGTGGCCGGGGAGGAGGAGGAGGAAGGGTCCCAAGTCAAGGTGAACTGAGGGAGGTCCGGGCCCCCGGCTGGGGTAGCCGACTCCATCCCGCCCCCTTGTGGGGAGACGAGGAACGGCCAGGCAAGGCCAGGCCTCCAGACCTTGCGGAGGGGAGATGAGGGCCTGGCCTGGCCCGGGACAGAATGGCAGCCAGCCCAGGTGGGATGGGGGTGGGGCTGGAAAGATGGAGGTCCAGGGAGGCAGGGACGGAGCAGAGCCAGCAGAGGGATCAGAGAGAGACACAAAGACCCAAATGGAGGAACGTTTGCCAAGGCCTGGGGGGGAGGGGAGGGAGTGCCCGCGGGGGGCTGGGGGAGGGGGCATTGGAAACGCAGGAGCCAGGGCACAGACTGAGAGCCCCAGTCCCCGTCACCATCTCTTCTCCCCGCTCCCAAACCCCACCCCCACCCCAAGCAGGATGCAGTTTCCATGACAACCTGGCCGGCCAGAAAAGGGGGCGGGGGACTGCAGAGGAAATTTTCCACATCAGCAGCAAGGAAGGAGGGAGGATGCAGGGAAGCAACCTTGGGGAGAGGTCAGTGGCCTTTGCCCTGAGAGAGCAGGGCTCCCTGAGCTTCTGTGTGACCTCAGGCAAGCCCCCTGCCCTCTCTGGGCCTTGCGTCACCCAAGTATGAGCTGGGACAAGCCCGCCCATCCCGTTTCCCCTCCCTGGCCCAGTGGAGAGGGACAGGCCACTACAGACTGAGGAAATCTGGGGGGGAGGGGAGGCCTACTCTCTCTCCAAGGCCCTTCCCCTCTCCCCCCTCTCCACGCAGGGCCCCAGGAGCCCCAGATCACCATGCCACACACCCCCCACGCCCCCAGGACCGTCACCCCGCCTCCACCCAGCAAACTGGCACCCTCACCGCTGGGCTGCGGAGAAGGGGGACGGCTTGGGAGAGGCTCAAGGGTCAAATGTCCAAAGATCAGCGGCTGCCCAGGCCTCTTGTGTGTGTGTGTGCACGCGGGGCGGGCAGCCAGCAGCGGACGGAGCTCGGACTGCAGGCCAGACCACCAGACTCGAGGACATGGCCCTGGACAGGGTCCCGCGGAGGGTGGGGGTGGTGGGCTACGGCCGTCTCGGTGAGTCCCTGGCTGTCTGGGGCTCTTCCCCAGGCCCCTCCCTGAAGCCCCTCAAGCCCTGTGTCCCCCAAAAACGCACCTGTCACCTGTGTCAGTGTCTGCGCCCTGGCTGACTGACTGCTTAATTGGCCTCTACTCACCACTGTGGGGTCTGTCCCCCTCCCCCTGGATCTCCGTCCCCTGCGCTCTGAGTCTCTCTCCCTCCTCCCAGGACAGTCCCTGGTCTCCCACCTGCTGACTCAGGGGCCGGAACTGGGCCTCGAACTGGTCTTTGTCTGGAATCGGGACCCGGGACGCCTGGCAGGGAAAGTGCCCCCCTCCCTGCAGCTGCAGGACCTCAGTGACCTTGGGGAGAGGTCAGTGGCCTTTGCCCTGAGAGAGCAGGGCTCCCTGAGCTTCTGTGTGACCTCAGGCAAGCCCCCTGCCCTCTCTGGGCCTTGCGTCACCCAAGTATGAGCTGGGACAAGCCCGCCCATCCCGTTTCCCCTCCCTGGCCCAGTGGAGAGGGACAGGCCACTACAGACTGAGGAAATCTGGGAGGGAGGGGAGGCCTACTCTCTCTCCAAGGCCCTTCCCCTCTCCCCCCTCTCCTAGGCACCCTGACCTTGTGGTGGAAGTGGCCCACCCCAAAATCATCCAGGAATCTGGGGCGCAGATCCTGCGCCATGCCAATCTCCTGGTGAGCACTGCCCCTTCCTCCTTGGCCCCACCCCACCCCACCCCAAAGTGGGATGGGGTCCCCTGACCTCTGCCCGCGCACCTTCACCCACCCCAGGTGGGGTCCCCCTCAGCCCTGGCTGACCAGGCCACAGAGCGGCAGCTCCTGGAGGCCTCCAAACGCTGGAACCACGCTGTGTTCGTGGCCCGGGGGGCCCTGTGGGGCACGGAGGACATCAGCAGATTGGACTCAGCTGGGGGCCTCCAGGTGAGGGCCTGTTGGGGTCCCCAGGAAGCGGAGGGGCTTTGCAGACCCCCCCCCCCCCACACACACACACACACACACACGCGCGCGCGCGCGCGCCCCCTTGACCCTGGCTGTCACTTCCAGAGCCTCCGTGTCACTATGGCTACCCATCCCGACGGCTTCCGGCTGGAGGGACCCCTGGCTGCAGCTCGGAGCACCGGGCCTCGCACTGTGCTCTACGAAGGCCCGGTCCGCGGGCTCTGCCCCTTTGCCCCCCGCAACTCCAACACCATGGCAGCCGCCGCCCTGGCGGCCCCCAGCCTGGGTTTCGACCGCGTGATCGGCGTGCTTGTGGCGGACCTCAGGTGAGACATCCCCTGGGGGACGGACTGGGGCCGGCCAGACAGACACACTGACCACCCTGCTCGCCGCAGCCTCACGGACATGCACGTGGTGGACGTGGAGCTGCGGGGACCCCCAGGCCCCACGGGACGAAGCTTTGCGGTGCACACGCACAGAGAGAACCCCGCCGCGCCCGGCGCCGTCACGGGCTCTGCCACGGTCACTGCCTTCTGGCGCAGCCTCGTGGGTACGGCCAGGCCCTGCAGCGTCAGTGGCCTCGGGCCCTGTGCTCCGCAGAGCTGGGGTCTCGGGCTCTGGCTCTGCAGTTCTGCTCCTGTCTCTGTGGGCTGATCTTTATTTCGGAGTTTCCTTGGCCACCTAGGCCATGGCTTTGAACCCTCTCCCTCCTCTCCCCATTTCTGGACGCTCTCCTGGGGTCTGTGTGTGTCTCACCCCCACCCCACCCCGGTGTGCCCCTCTGTTCCTTCCTCCAGGTGTGTCTGTCTCAGCCTGTCATCCCCGTTATCTCCCCGCAGGCTGCTGCCAGCTCCCCTCCAGGCCCGGGATCCACATCTGCTGAGACGTCTCCTCCCCAAGACATCCTCATCTCATTTCCCTCCCCCCGCGCCGCCCTGCGGCCACTGCCCTGGCCTCAGTTTCCCCGAAACCCCCCTCCCCTCCTGTCTCAGTAAAGTTGCGCAGGCTGGTTAGTCTTCTGTGACGTCACGCTGCGTCTGCACACGGGGCCTCACGCCACCTCAGGGGGCGGGCTCGGCGGGGAGCAACCAGCCGGGAAGCCATCGCGAGAACCTAGCTACTACATGTCCCAGAATCCTCTGAGCGGCAGGGAGGGGGGGGGAAAGCGGAAGCGAGGGCCTCTGCAGAGAGCGCATTAACCGAGGTTCACGGCCGAGAGTGGCGGAAGTTGTCCTCCCACGATCTCGGAGGCACAGAGGCCTTCCGGGCCACGCCGCCCAGACGTTCCTCGCGGAGGCCGCTGGGAGTTGTAGTCTGGATCGCTGGGGCGCCGGGAGCTGTAGTCCGCGCCGCCTGCCCAGTCAGCGCCGAGCTTCCGGCTCCGCACTCTCGCAGCCCAGCGTCGCTGCCCACGGGGATGCGGGAGCCTCTGGTTCCGGGGAGCAGAGAGCAGGCGGGGTGAGGGGCGTTGCTTGGCAACGGGCAAGCGCCGCGGCTGGGGTGCGGGTTGGGGAAGGGGCTCTGCTGCCGGGTGCCAACTGCAAGAGAAAACCCTGCTGCTTAGAGATGGGAGGGGAGTCGTCCGTTGCTAAGCGACCAAAAGAGACCCTGTTACCTAGAGACTGGAGAAGGATTCCTCTGTTGCTAAGTAACTAAAGGAGAGACTTGTTATCTAATGGGGTGGGGGGTTCTCTGTTGCTAGGTAACCAGGGTGGGAGCCTGTCACCTACAGACGGGAGGGGGGTTCCTTTCTTGCTGGGGGAGCAGAAAAGGGGGCCTTTTTGCTTCGGGATGGGGGGTGGGGGTGCCCTGTTGCCGGGAGGGGGGCCGGGGAGCAGGGTCGGGCCCCCCCTTCCCTCAGACTGCACCCAGCCCCGCCGCAGTGGTAAATGGTGGTGCTTCCGGAGCCTGCTGACAGGTTGGGCCTCCAGCTCCCGGTCCGTCTCCTGAGCACCTTCTCCTGCGCCCCCCTCGCAGGAGTGAAGGGCGGCATGTCCCAGGGCCCAGGAGCTCAGCCGAAACCCTCTGTGTACCACGAGCGGCAGCGCCTGGAGCTGTGTGCCATCCACGCCCTCAACAACGTCCTGCAGCAGCGGCTCTTTAGCCAGGAGGCTGCCGATGAGATCTGCAAGAGGTGACCTCACCCGCCCCCCCTGGGACCACCGCCCGGGACAGAGCCCACACCCCCCGCTGGGCCCGGGGCCTGGGAGATGGACCTGCGGCCCTCTGCACCTGTCCATCTGCAGGGCCTCCCCCTCAAGCCTCGCCCTCCCTTCTCTGGGCCTTCACCCCTCCCCTGTCCTGGCTGGGCCCTGGGCCCCATTCCCCTCTGGCCCCCAGCTTCTGGTTTCCCCCCTCCGATCCACCTGCACACGCCCCAGCGCTGCCCCCGCCCCTCCCTGGCTCCTCAGCGCCCCTGGGAGAAGCCCCCAGGCCCTGCGTGCTCTGCTCCCCAACAGCTCTGCAGCTTCAGGGTCTCACTGCTCCCCCAAAACCCCATTCCTCTCCAGGAGGCCTCCGGGCCTTGGCGTGGCCTGTTCATCTTAGAGCCTAGAATGTTCCTCCTTACTGTGCAAGATCTCACACGCTTCCTTATTGTCTCTCTGCTTCACCCCCCTCCCCCACCACCACACACACACCCCTGGCCCCAGCTCAGGCCCCACGGCCCCCAGGCCCTCCCCGTGGCCTCCAGAACAGGGGGCGGCCAGCGCTCTCACGCCACGGCCTGGCCTGGCCGGAGACCCAGAGTCCGGGGTCAGGGAAACACACACAGAAAAATGCCACACACATTTGCCCCTCTCTGCCCCGCCCTGCCCACCAAGGGCCGGAGAGAGGACAAAGGCGCCATTGTTCAGAGTGGGGGGCTCAGAGAGACAGCGGGTCTAGGTGGCCTCCGAGGGGAGAGGGAGAGAGGAGGGGAGAGGGCAGGCTGGGGGCAGGGGCACAAGAGCTGTGGCTGGGAAAGGGGGGAGGGGACCGAGGCTAGGCGGCCACCGGGGCCTGGGCCTCCATCCTGGTGATGGCGCACCAGGGCGGCTTGGGGGGCGGGGGGAGGGGGGACGGCAGGGGCAGTGACAGGCCTGGGAAGAGCCTTGGGCCCTGGGAGGGGACTGGGGGTGGGTGAGGGTCCAGGCAGAGGAAGACAGGGCTCAGAAGGGAGGTGTGGCTGGAGGAGGGGGGTGGGGGAAGGGAGGCAGGGGAAGCAGATAGAGGGGAGGGAGGCAGATAGAGGGGAGGGAGGCAGATGGGGGGGCAGGAGGGATGGGGGAAGAGCTCTGATGCTGGTGACTCACAGACCCTGGGGCTCTCACGCTTTGTGGGGAGGGGGAGACCTTCCTAGGGGCCCAGCTCAGTCTCTGACCCTCCCCCCACCACCACCACCAGGTTGGCCCCCGACTGCCGGCTGAACCCTCACCGCAGCTTCCTGGGCACCGGCAACTATGACATCAATGTGATCATGGCGGCCCTGCAGGGGCTGGGCCTGACCGCCGTGTGGTGGGACCGCAGGAGGTGGGAACTGAGGCTCCGTGTCCGGTGCCGGGCTCCACAGGGGTGTGGTGTGAGGACCGAGCGGGCAGGAGGGGGGAAGGGGAGGGGGGAGGGGGAGATGGCTGCAGGTTTGCATGGTGGACGCTGGCTGGTGGACCGGTGGGTTGGAGGTGGTGGAAGGACGTGCCAATGGGTATTGATGGGTGGGTGGTGGGTACATTCACGGGAACTGGGTGGCTGGATGTGTGGTGTGGGTGGTGCCTGGGCGAGGGGCTGCGTGAATGGGCAGGTAAGTGAGGGGCCGAGTGAACAAAGGATGGGTAAGGAGTGGACAGGCAGCGGACGGGGATGGGTGGCTGGGTGGCTGGGTGGGCAGCGTAGATGAGTCGGGTGGGAGGTGGGGAGGTGTGTGGGTAGGGAGCTGGCTGGGCGAGTGCTGTCTGGGATGATGGGTGGCTGGACGGGGAGGGGTGGCTGGTGGCTGGGAGCTTTGGGTGGGAGAGGGCAAGAGGGGTAGGTGGGTGGGCAACAAGCGAGGCGATGGCAGAGGCGTGGAGAGGGGATGGCGCGTTGGGTGGGAGGTGGAGGTGGTGGTGGATGGTGGTTGGGGGCTCGGCTGGGTGGGGGGTGGAGGGGCTGACGGGGGATCAGATGGGTGGGCAGGGGGCGGGGGGGCGGGGCAGTGGGTGGCAGGGGGTCGATGAGTGGCGGAGGGAGGAGAAGGAGCCAGCAGGCTGGTGCGGGGAGCCCTGACGTGGCGCCCCCGCCCCCCACCCGCCCTGCAGGCCCCTGACCCAGCTGGCGCTGCCCCACGTGCTGGGGCTGATCCTGAACCTGCCTGCGCCCGTGTCGCTGGGGCTGCTGACGCTGCCGCTGCGCCGGCGGCACTGGGTGGCCCTGCGCCAGGTGGACGGGGTCTACTACAACCTGGACTCCAAGCTGCGGGCCCCGGAGGCGCTGGGGGACGAGGACGGGCTCAGGTGAGGGGGATGGGGACCCTCCGCCCCGCCCGACCCCAAGAGGCCGCGCGGGCCCCGCCTCAGCCTCCCCGTCTCCCCGCCAGGTCCTTCCTGGGGGCCGTGCTGGCCCCGGGCCTGTGCCAGGTGCTGGTGGTGGTGACCAAGGAGGTGGAGGAGAAGAACAGCTGGCTGCAGCTCGACTGAGCCCCCCCAGGAGCCCCCACCGCCCTGCTGTCCCTGCTCGCGCCCCCGAGTCCCGTCCAGCATCCAGCTCCACAGGAGCCTCGTGACCCGACCGACCAACCGACCAACCAATCAACCGACCGCACAGCCTCCCTTCCTGGGCCCGCGGAGGCCCCGCCCCTCGCCCCACGCCCCCAGCTGCTGCTGCCTCAGTAAATCAGATTTGTTCATTTCCCAGGGGCACTGCCATTCCCAGCCAGGCTGGTCCCCCAGCCCTGCCTGCCGCCTCCCAGGGACCTGAGTCCCAGCCCCGGCCCGCCTCCTGCCGCCTGTGGGACACACACACACACACCCCCTCCCCGAAGGCAGGGTTCATTCAGACTCATTTCTGAAAGATGAAACAGGGGCCAGAAACCGGGATGGCAGGACACAGGCTTTATTGGGGAGAAGGGAACCACTGCCGCTGCTTCCAGAGAGAGAGAGAGAGAGAGCGCGAGCGAGGGCCGGGGCACAAGCACTTTTTAAGGGGAGGAGAAGGGACGGGGCTCAGGGCACTCAGCACGCGCTGATCGGTGATGAGGGACCTGGGGGCTCAGGGTACTTGGCAGGTGCTGATGGGTGTTCAGAGCTCAGGAATGTCTGGCCGCAGGTGGGGTTTACGTCCATCAGTTGGAGGAAGGAAGGGCCTATCATTTTCTGTCCCGTGGGGCCCGCCCCGCCCTCCATTCCCAGGAACTGGGAGCAGGTGCGGCCCCATGGCGAGGGCAGTGGAGGCTGCAGCGGGAATCCGGCCGCTCGGCGCTGACCTTGAGGGCGACCTTGAGGCGGAGAGGCTCCTGCAGCCTCTGAGAAGCACCAGGGGCCCGGGCAGCAGGGAGGGAGGCAGCAGGGGAGGCCGAGAGAGACCAGGCGGGGCCCAGCCACGGGCAGGCCGGACGCCCGCACTCACCACGGCTTTAAGGGCAGAGAGTCAGGGAGTGAGGGCCCCACAGGCCAGGAACAGCCCTCCCGCCCCAGCTGGTGTAGCTCAGCGGATAGAGTGTCGGCCTGCGGACTGAAGGGTCCCGGGTTCGATTCCGGTCAAGGGCATGCACCTCAGTTGCGGGCACATCCCCGGTGCGGGGAGCGTGCAGGAGGCAGCTGATGGATGTTCCTCGCTCGTCGATGTCTCCAGCTCTCTCTCCCTCTCCCTAACTCTCTGTGAAAAATCAATAAAGTGTATTTAAAACACGGCGCCGGCCCCGCCCACTTTGTGTTATACTCCTGGTGCACCTGTGGCCGCCACAGTGGTGAAGTCTGTGTTGCCGCCTGGAGGTTTGCTGGGAAGAACAACCTTGGCAAAGGACGCAGCGGTGTGGGCACCCGGAGGGCGTGGCCTCAGGAGGCGCCGCTGAGCACTCTGGGAGGAGGGAGCCACGGCAGGTGGAGGACCAGCGCCCGCAGGGAGGGGAGCCAGTGCAAAGGCCCAGGGGCAGGCGTGCCCAGAGGAGGGAGCCGGGCCAGGAGGGGAGGGCGGAGGGCTGACACATGGGGAAGCCGTGCCCAGGAGGCGGCCGTTTTAAACAGAGCGAGGACCGGCTCCCCGAGGCCCCTGGTCCCTGTCCCCCCGCCCCCCAGGCCCCGGGCCCTCCCCGTTAGGCCTGCTTTCCGGGCGCCCCTGAGCCAGATGGGAGGAGAAAGCAACGGGACAGGAGACCTCCCCTGTCCCATGGGGGTGGGGGTGGGTTGACAGGGTCCCGTGGGACACTTTGGGGTCCCAGGAAGGTGAGGGGACCTGGGAGGCCGGGCTGAGGGTGTCAGAGGGCCGGGGGAGGGGAGGAGGGAGCCTTCCAGAATTGGGAACAGCTCGGGCTCTGGAGGCTGAGCGGAGCCGGCTGCCCCGTGTTATCTGAGAGGTGATGAGCGATGAGGCGGCTGCTGGCCAGGCCAGACCCAGCCTCCGAGGGCGGCTGGGAGGGGGTGCGGGGGGGGGGGGGAGCTGTGGGCAGGGGGGCTGGTCCGTCCTGGGTGCAGAGAGACCCTCGGGGCTGCTGGGCTGACGGAGGCCGGAGGCCCTGGAGGAGGCTCTGGGACAGAGACCAGGGGAGAGAGGACAGTCTGGGCCTGGCAGGCTGCGGGGGGAGGGACGGTGGGGGGAGCAGGTGCCCAGGGGTGTGACCTGAGGCACGGGAGGAGGGGGAGGAGCAGTGGTTTGGGAACACAATGTGCTCAGTGGGCTGAAGGTCCCTGACAGCTGGGTGACAGGGGAGATGGCTCCGGGGGCCAAGGATCTGACCTGGGAGGCAGGCAGGGGTGGAGGTGGGGGGAATGGGGGGCTGGGCAGCAGCAGGGACCCCACAGGGCTAAACAGGATTGGGGACCGGGGGCACAGAGAGGGGTGTCCCCACTCAGCCTTAAGCTGGGTGTCACCCAAAAAGCAAGTCATTCAAGCAGCTGCCCCCCCCCCCCAGCAGGCAGGGCAGCTGTCACCCCGAAAAGCTGGCCGGGAAGTGGGGGCTGGGGCTTGAAGGGTTCTGGGTTCCAAGACTCCCAGAGGTCAAAGGGAAACTGGTAAAGTCAGAAGTGAGCCTGGACAGTGTGGTGCAGTGGTTTGATCGCCAACCTGTGAGCCAGGAGGTCAGGGTTCCGTTCCGGTCGGGGCCCAGGCCCGGGTTTCTGGCTCGGTCCAGGTGTGGGGTGTGCGGGAGGCAGCCAATCAGTGATTCTCTCATCACTGGTGCTTCTGTCTCCCTCTCCCTTCCTCTCTGAAGTCCATAACAATATATTTTTAAAAAGTCAGAAGTCTGCTGAAACCGGTTTGGCTCAGTGGATGGAGCGTCAGCCTGTGGACTGAGAGGTCCTGGGTTCGATTCCGGTCAAGGGCATGTACCTTGATTGAGGGCATTTCCCCAGTGGGGGGGTGGGGAGGGCATGCAGGAGGCAGCTGATCGATGTTTCTCATCAATGTTTCTAACTCTCTATCCCTCTCCCTTCCTCTGTGTAAAAAATCAATAAAATATATATATTTAAAAAAAGAAAAAAGAAGTCAAACAGTGCAGGAGGGAAACACAGCTGGAGGCCCAGACACCCCGAACCTGGGGCCCCAGCCCACCCTGGGCGGCTCCCTCCGGCTCCCCAGCGGGCTCCCCTGTGCCCCTCTCTTTCTGGAACCTTCTCCCTGTCTCTGCGCCCCCCTGGCCCCCGGGGCCCCCTCCTCCGCTGGGCCTGCCCCTGCCCCTGGCCCACGGCCCCAGACAGCCTGGCGGCCACCCCAAGTGTTTCTATTCCGGGCTGAGTGGCCGCCCAGGTGCCCCGCAGCTGCCGCCTAATATGGGCCGAGGAGCCGGCGGCGGTGGCGGGGAGGAGGGGAGGGGAGGGGAGGGGAGGGGAGGGGGCAGAGGGTCCTGCAGGCCCTGGGCCCCTCGCCCTCTGACCCCCGCTGCGCACGGGTGGGGGTTACTGTTCCCTCCTGGGGGGCTGGGACCCCTGACTCCATCGTACCTGCCCGGGGCCCGGCTGTCCTTGGGGCCAACAGCCCGCGGGGCCCCCGCCCCGCCTGGCAGGGGCAGTGGCAGGGGCGGGGGCAGGGGCCGTGGCAGGGGCGGGGGGGGGGCAGGGGCCGGGGCCGGGGCGGCAGGTGCCAGGGCGCAGCTGTCCCTCCCCGCCCGCGCCCCGGGGCGCTGACAGCTGAGGCCGGATTTAGCTCCGGGGCCGAGGCCGATGAGGCGGGGAGTGGGGGGGCCGCGGCCCCGCCCCCCGGGCGCCCCTTAAATCCCGCCGCCCGGCCCCGGGCTGCGCCGCCGCCAGCGCCAGGTGAGAGGGGCGCCGGCCTCCACCTCTCGGGCTCTCTGCTCCCTCCGCCTCTCCGCTCCTCTCCGCTCCTCTCCGCTCCTCTCAGCCTCCCTCCGTGTCTCTCTCTCCCCGCCCGCTGTCCCGTCCTCTCTGTTCTCCGCCTTGGCCTCCCTCTCCCTCTCCCTCTCCCTCTCCCTCTCCCTCTCCCTCTCCCTCTCCCTCTCCCTCTCCCTCTCCCTCTCCCTCTCCCTCTCCCTCTCCCTCTCCCTCTCCCTCTGTCTGCGTCTCTCCCCACCTCTGTCCCTCCTGCTCTCCATTTCCCTCCGTCCCCTTTGTAACCCTCGGCCTCTGTCCCTCCTCTCTCCCACCCTCTCTCACCATCCGTCTTCCCACACGGGTCTCCGCTCTACCTGCTTTTCCCTCTCTCCCTCCCATCTCTCTCTCTCTCTCTCTCTCTCTCTCTCTCTCTCTCTCTCTCTCTCTCTCTCTCTCCCTCCCTCCCTCTCTCTCAGACCCTGTCCCTCCCACCTCCCTCTCCATCTGACTTCCCGCCCGCTCTCTCCCTTCTCCCTTGTGTGTCTGTCTCCCTTTCTCTTTCTGTGTCTCTCAGCCTCCCTCCCTCTCTCCCTCTCTCCCTCTCTCCCTCTCTCTCTCTCTCTCTCTCTCTCTCTCTCTCCTCTTCCAGACCCCACCTCTCTCCCCACTGCTCCAGCTCCCTCTCCAGCCCCCCCTCCAGCTCCCCCTCCAGCCCCCCCTCCAGCCCCTCTCCAGCTCCCCCTCCAGCCCCCCCTCCAGCTCCAGCTCCCCCTCCCGCTCCCCCTCCAGCCCCCCCTCCAGCCCCCCCTCCAGCTCCCCCTCCAGCCCCCCCCTCCAGCTCCCCCTCCAGCTCCAGCTCCCCCTCCCGCTCCCCCTCCAGCCCCCCCTCCAGCTCCCCCTCCAGCTCCCCCTCCAGCCCCTCTCCAGCTCCCCCTCCGGCTCCCCCTCCGGCTCCCCCTCCAGCTCTCTCTCCAGCTCCCCCTCCAGCCCCCCTCCAGCTCCCCCTCCAGCTCCCCCTCCAGCCCCCCTCCAGCCCCCCCTCCAGCCCCCCTCCAGCCCCCCTCCAGCTCCCCCTCCAGCTCCCCCTCCAGCCCCCCTCCAGCTCTCTCTCCAGCCCCCCCTCCAGCTCCCCCTCCAGCCCCCCTCCAGCCCCCCTCCAGCTCTCTCTCCAGCTCCCCCTCCAGCCCCCCCTCCATCCCCCCTCCAGCTCTCTC